GCAGCAGTGCGCGAGGGCTCCCTTGGTTCTTCCTTCATAAATTACTTTACAATGCTATTAAAGACTAGCATATAAATAAAGGAAGTTGAAGAGATTATGAATTCAATGTGGGACACAAGAATTCACCCCTACCAAGTATTCGATTTCAAGAATTAATTTCTCATTCACCCGAGCACCAACTTTGGCGCACAATATGTCGAAATACCCGTCTCACTTAGAATAGTATTTGTCCATAATTACTTTTGAAAAATAATTCTGTGGACCTTATCGAATTTCTGTCCAAAGTTGTCCTTTTATGAGTAAAAATTCCAACGATCCCCCCCATGAATGAAAAGTTAAATCATGTGCTTGGCAAATAACTCTATGGTTGAAGACTGCAAGAGTAGGTAGGTTTTGTTTTTTGAACCCATTCCTTGTAAAGTATACCTTATTTACTAGTTGTTCAGTAGAACATGATGTCTCTGAATTGTAATGCTGTTTATGTAAAAGACGATATACCATACACAGGTTTCAACCAACCATCATTCTGTTTTCATGGGTGTGCCCATTATGGTTGTGGAACACACTGTTAGTCGTTGTGTCCACGCCTTAAGGGGGGTGAATAAAGCATTTGAAAACTTTTCAGAGTTTAATAAAAACGGTGTTAGCAAATGCAGAAGCAATATATAAAACATAAAAATAAAGCGCAAATAAAATGTACACCAATTTTATTCAAGAACTCCCTACTCTAGTACCTTGAGGCTCCTCCTCAAGGATTTCTGAATCCACTAAATCTTGGTCTCTTGAACTCTTTAAAAGTATCGCACTAGTTTGGCAAACAACCCTTGCCAATAGGATTCACTTTGAGATTTTACAATGGCTATCTCGAACCGCTTACAATGAAGATTTAACGGCTATCTTCTTCCATTCCCGCAAGGATTTCAAAGGTTATCCTTGAACTTTTACCCAAGGATTTATACAGCTATCCTTGACCGTTACAACATGAGAATTTAATGGCTATTCTAGACCATAAAAAGATGTGTTTGAAAAACACAAAAAATGATTCTACACAATGCCTTGAATACAAAATTGAAGAACAAGACTTTAGCCGATGTAGAAGGAAAATTATACTATCTCAAAAGATACAAAATAAACTTATGATTATGAGAGTATATCACTAAAACACAAGCTCAAAAGTGTGCATAAGAATCGAGAGATTAAGGCTCTTGAAATAGCCAAAATATTGAAAATAAAGAATAAAAGAATGAACACACTTAAAATATAAAGAGAGAAAGTTTAGTCCTTTGTTTCTTGTTGAAATGTAAAGTATTAGGACTATATTTATAGCGGAAAGTGTTAATTAGCCGTTGGGAGGTTACTAGGGTTGATTTAATTCAAAATTCAGCAATCAAGAACAGTTTTCCAATGGCTACGGTACCTTGTCACGGTAGCTAGGTACCTTCTCAGGCAAAAACTCTCTTGTGGTAGTTGTCCTCTTACGGTACCTATTCTGCTAGGGGGGTCCCGTTCGAATGGTAGGGGTTACCTTCTCAGATTGACTCACGGTACCCCTTACGGTACCTAGGTACCTGCTGACCGTTTTGATGATTTTTTATTTTTGTCCAAATCGTTTGCAATTTTGTTTAAAACCTTTTAGATGTTTGAAAATAATTATAAGAAGGTTTTAAACATATTTTGTGAGTGCTTTTGAGCTTGTGAATATAGGTATATAAAATCATATCCTTACAATGGTTTCTACCCATATTCTACGCTAGTTTAGTGTTTCGACTTCATTCTTGAGAACCGAATCTTAATGGATTCCTATTGTACCTGAAACACTTAAAAAACTTTAGCTCTTATATTGTTTGCTAACATCAAAACACGAGGCTTTAGCAAACCAAGGCTAACACATGCTCTTGGTTCTGCAAGAGTGTCAGACAATTTAACCGGAATCCTTCTGTTGAAGCGACCACACTTCACTCTTACATAGGTGGTTCTTCTAAGAGTATCCTGATTACTATACTTGGACCCATTGTCCATAGTTCAAGAATCATTAAAGCATCATGCTAACCTCAACATTTTTGGGAGTCACTATATCTCGGTAGGAACGGAGGGGTTTTAAATCTCCGGCTTGCCCCCACAGTGACCATGCTTCGTCTCACAAGTAGGTTGTCTCATTGAACCTAGGTACCACCCAGGTTGGGTTTTCCTTCATGAAACGTTCCCAGCACAGGGTAGAGCTCCCAGACTCATTCTTACCACTAACTTCTCATGGTGTTCATTTTTTAACCCTTTGGTTAGTGGATCCGCTAAATTATCCTTTTTTGAACTAACATAATCAATTGAGATAATGCCTGTATTGAGAATTTGCCTAATGATTTTGTGTCTACGGCGAATGTGTCTAAATTTTACATTGTACATATTGCTCCGAGCTCGTCCTATTGCCGACTGGCAATTGCAATAAACGCAAATAGGAGGAACTGGTTTTCCCCAATTTGGAATATCCTCAAGAAAATTCAGAAGCCATTCAGCATGTTCTGCACACTTATCTAGTGCTATAAACTCAGACTCCCATAATGAATCTCGCTAGTAATGTTTGTTTTGAGGATTTCCACGATACAGCTACACTAGCTAACATAAGATATATCCACTCCTGGATTTTGAATCTTTATTATCCGCAATCCAGTTTGCATCGGTATAGCCTTCTAGCACAGGTGGATATCTAACATAGCACAAACTATAATTTCGCGTATACCGAAGGTATCTCACTACTCGGACTATGGCCTTTCAGTGCTCAGTGCTTGGGTTGCTAGTATACCTACTTAGTTTGCTAATTGCACAAGCTAAGCATGGCCGTGTGCAGCTCATGAGATACATCAGGCTTCCGATAGATCTCGCATATTAAGTCTGAGAATCACTATTCCCTCGGTATTTACCCAGGTGAACATTCATGTATATCGGTGATTTGGCCACTTTAGTATCATCCTTGTTGAATTTTTCAAGGATTTTGTCAATGTAATGAGATTGGCTCAAGCTCAGACCGTCTAGTCTTCTTATTATTTTGATGTCAAAAATCACATCAGCCACACCCAAATCTTTCATATTGAATTGTGCGTTTAACATGTCCTTGGTGGACTTGACCATCCTGCCGTTACTTCCAACGATGAGTAGGTCGTCTACGTACAGACATAGAATGACATATCCTTCAGATGTATCCTTAAAGTACACACACTTATCTGACTAATTTATCTTAGAACCATTGTTCATCATTATCTGCTTAAACTTATCATCCCATTGTTTTGGCACTTGTTTAAGATTGTATAATGATTTCACGAGTTTACAGACCTTCTTTTCTTGGCCCGGAACCTTAAATCCCTGGGGTTGTTCCATATAGATTTCATCATCGAATCTAACTCTCCATTTAGAAAAGCTATCTTTACATCCATTTGGTAAACATCCAAATTTTGTAAGGATGTGAATGCGATGATCATCCTCATAGAATCTATCCTAGTCACAGGCGCGTAAGTATCAAAGTAGTCATAGCCCTCGCATTGGCTATAACTTTTGATCACAAGTCTAGCTTTATACTTGTCTATGAAGCCGTCAGGTTTCATTTTCCTCCGGAAGACCCATTTGGAACAACCTAATGGCTTGCAACTTGGAGGGAGGTCAACCAATTCCCACGTGTGATTCTGAAGAATAGAATCAACTTCACTTTTTATGGCTTCTCTCCACTGAGGTCCTTCAGTTGAAGTTACTGCCTCGTGATAGGTTTGTGGTTCCTTTTATACCAGACAGGTTAGAATATCGGATTCATTCTCCATTAGAAATGACAGAGTTTCTTTGTCAAATTCTATCAGGTATGTTATGAAGTCAAAACTAAATGTCTTTTCAGTTTGCATTCTTTTACTTCGTCTCAATTCAGTTTCGTGTTCGATTTCATCATCGTTACCGAAACTCAACTGATTTGGATTGTCATTATCCATCATCTCAGTACGTGTACGTTTAGACGAACTGGCTTCATTGATTGACTTGTACGGAAAGATATGTTCAAAGAATGTTACATTCTGTGACTCTATAATCGTGTTCTTGTGAATTTCAGGACTATCTGCTTTATACACCAAGAACCGGTACGACGTACTATTGTACCCAATGAAGACACCATCAACTGTTTTTGGACCTATCATCATTTTCTTTGGCGATGTTGCAAGCACTTTTGAAAGACACCCCCATACTTTGAGATATTTTTAGGAAAGTTTCCTATTGTGCCATAGTTTGTACAGAGTTTTTCAAGTTTCTTACGAGGCATCTTGTTTAACAAGTAATTACTTGATAAAATGGCCTCTCCCCACATAGTGTAGGGTAATTTAAGAACTGAGTAGCATCGCATTCATCATGTCTTTTAGAGTGTGATTTTTCCACTCCGCCCCACCATTAGACTGCAGTGTATAAGGTGGAATTACTTGATGCACAATTCCGTGTTGTGCACAAAACTCGTTGAGCATAGCATCATAGTCTCCACCTCCTCGCAAGAAAATCTTATCTCCTAATGATATATACCTTGTATTACAGTAGCTTCGAGGTCTTCCTAAAACCTTATCTTGTGGTGTTCCTTTGAAACGACTTGTGGTGCATAGGCACTAAGCACATGATTAAGAGCTTTCCCTTCTACCACGCGTATGGATTTGCATACCAAGAAAATATAAAATTAGATTCCATAACGAAGACCTCGGAGAAATAAATAAGAGAAAAAGTGAAGAAAATGACTTCTTTGAACAAAAAAGATTAATAAAAAGACTAATTATTACGGAGTATTATTTTTTAGATAGTACTTTGTGGCACAATAAACATAATATGGCTTGGAAGTGACATGCCCAAAGGCACAGGTTATAAATGTCTTGTTACAACATCCATATGTCGAATTGATAAAAATTGACTATACGAACTCCTGACTTTTAAAACTAAATACTCCGTAAATTTATTTTATTTATACATCAAATGGAACTTGTTCAATTACAAAAATGCTAGTACAAATATTATTCTATACTCTATATATCTACGTAGGTGGAGGAACAAAATTTGACTGCACATGAAAAGAATGAGGCTTTCCCCAGGAAAGTTTTGAAGAATGCTGCCTAACTAAAAATACTACAGTAATACTTATGCAGGCATGTGTACAAGACAAGAATGCTCCACATATATCCAAAATCATTTTGTGGTGAGATGAACTCATTTGTTTTTCTTCTTCTTCCCATAGAGAATAGAGTGAATCTGCAGGCTTCGGTTAAAGGCCTCGTTGAAAAGAAAACGTGTTTGGAAGGCAGAAATTATAGGCATCCATGCTAAGGAAGCCAGTGGAGCAAAGATAACAACTCCCATTCCATAATCATAAGCTTGAGCAAAGACCTCGGTGAAATTCCACATCCCGGTTCCGTCAATCAATGGTCTCATTGCTTGTGCAACCTGAAAAATTGGATGGAGTAGAAAGAAAAGAGATATCTAGTCAAACTTTAAAGCTCTTTCTCCTTTTGTTTAATGATGAAACCGTGTTTAGGATAAATATGTATGTATATAATTGCATGTTACCAATATCAAGCCCCATCCGGTTGGTAGAAACGCGAGACAGCATACGATCAAATCTCTAACGGATAGATCACAGATGTACGAAAGGGTTATAATTATAGCTATAACTCCCAGGAACAACAGTGCTTTGAGGAACCGGAATGCTAGGTGATGATCAGCACTGAGGAATCGTCTGCCAAGCCTGACAGCCTGTGTGCATATCACGTTCATACTTCATACGATTGACTCACTTTTGTATCAAACCAGCAATTGCACAAAATCATGGTGTACACGCGCACACACACTAAAAATTATGAATTTTTAGTGTTTGCAGAATTAAGAATGGCCTTGTTTGTGAAGAGCGTTCTCAATTAGCGTTAGCGTTTTGGATAAAATTTTAACGGTGTAGATTAACTCTAAAAACGTGAACGCTAAAGGCTACCGTCAGATAGTCTTTTCAAAACACTAACGCTAACCTCTAATGCTAATGCCAAACGGAGCCAATGTCTACAAGAACACAAAAAGGTTGTTTGCGTGTTGTGAACAAGTAGGTGTGCAGAATTTTGGTGTAGAAAATCATTATCTGGATAACCATTGCGGGTTTAAAAGAAATAACGGATAAAAGTGTATACCTTGACCATAACGAAAATCAAGAGAAAGACAACCCATGAGAGCAAATAAACAATGAGATCTTTGTTCTTCCCAGAGATGTCAAGGTGATAGACCAATCCATATTGGTAAATGAAAAACCTGAGGGAAAGGAATATCTCAATTAACCGAGAAAGCAGGCCCGAGTGAGATTGTTCATTATACCACCATGACTGCCAACTTTTGTCTTGTTGGATTCCAATTCCGCCTTGTTGTTGTATCCACTTGTTCCAGTCTTTCCAGTCATCCACTATCTTCCCCCATTCAAATCCAGAGGGATTAAAGAGGAAGGGGGCAAACAACCAAGTCATTGACATGAACCAGACGGAATAGGTAATGAGAACGTAAACCACAGTGTTCTCATACCCACGCATAAACAGGTCATAAACAACCAACAGAAGCATTAACTCATATCCTTTCACAAAGTGGCTCCGCGAGTATAATCTATAGTTCTCAGTGAAGCTTGCATGAAATACCACAACCTTGCGGCCAGTGGGTCTATACTTGGCACCCCCATGGAGGATTGTTCTGCCGTAGTGGTGAGATTTTGTGCCAAATGAGAAAGTAAAGAACACGGCAGCCAGATGCAGTTGCATCAACACAAAATCTTTGACTGCGTTTAGCAAACCATGCTCAACCCCAATCTCTACAACCATTGGTAAGCCTGTCAAGAGACCAAGCTGGATAAATGACTGTGATGCTAAAGCTGTTTCAAGTGGCTTTAGGTTTTGTTCTCTTGCCTCAACGGCTATTGTTCTCTGGAGACCACTAAGGACAAGGTATAACTGCCCGTAAAGGAACACGTATATTGTTATCACTGATATCTGCATTTTTTTGTTTTTGTCACAGAAATGATGACAGAGGTTAAAGTTTGAAGCAGCCCCTTATATCAAAGAACAATTGCATAATGGAATTTCCATATTTGAAAAGCAATAGAAAGAAGAGTTTTGGGATTCAACTATTACCAGACTGTTGAAGTAGAAACCTATTGTTGTGAAATATAAAGAGAGCATGCGAAAGAAGTCAAATCGATGACCAAGACGGTATATGTCTCGACTAATTGTTTGCTCACTGTTGCCATTTGCTACTTTTGCTTCGAACTTGGATATCTGATTGAGACCCACATCACGACCTTTGCCAACTTGCATATACTCCAGATATGTAACACATCCCTTCCGTAGTGTTGTGTTAAATCCTACATTATGTTCATAGGTTATTATTTTGACTTAAGTATAACTGAATGATTAAAAAACAGTTCCACCCAAGCTATGTTCCGACCTGCAAAAACATCCTCACTCAAGTTGATTGTTTTGGATGCCTTGCTAATGCCTCCTCGTGTCAAGTGAAATAGTCTATCAAACAAATCGGGATGACCATAATGGAATCTGACCCTGGATTTGATAATTGAAATTTGAAATCAAAGGTTAGAATGAAAAATACTGTACATAAGTATTCAGCATACAATGCGTAGTAGATTGATATTGAAAACAGTGTGAGTAATGTTTGTTATGAAGAACATGAAATGGTCTAGCAGCAATCTCTTCATATTTATTTGCACTGACTAATAAATAATGCAAACACATAAAGTTACCTGAGTGGATTAGCTAGAAGTCTTTGGCCGATTGTAACAAAGCTGGTCTCTTGATAAGACATGAACCAAGCCAAAGAAGAAACACTGCAAACATGAATGCTTCTTCAGTTACACAAATTCTTTATTTACAAAAAATACATAATAATACATCGATTATGAACTCTTAAAATATTTAGATTGTTTGAAGAGAAGTCTTGATATGGGTCATATGACTTGTTAATGGCATCTGCTTTTATAAATGTCAAAGAAACAAAATACATCATGTCATCATCAAGATATTTGATGGTAACCTTCCAGTAAATATATGCTCTCTCATGCCAATTATTGTGGGGGATCTACAACCTCTGTTATGCATAAATTCCTGCAAGATATTTCTCATTTTGAAAGCTTCCTCCAGATAATTATCCTGCCAGAGCGTGCTATTAGTGCATGCCGTAAAAAAAATATCCCATTCGAAAAGCAAGAGTCAAGGTAAAAATTACTTGGTTCATGTCAATTGCTTGGAGAGCTTCTCCACGTGTGAAAATTATGGCATGATTTTGATTCTCTGGTTTGCCTTCTCCAATATTTGGTGAACCTGGGAGTTTAATGCGATACACCTCCTAAAATATATATATAATAGAGTTACACATTTTGAACATGAGGAATTACAGCCTTTTATACACAACATGCCATTGTTGACAAACTTTTATCTTTGGCAACATGTGGATTGACATTGAACTGAGGATGTAGTTACCTGGTCTAAACCATTGACAGCTTTAACCAATATAGATGAATAAGTTTTTCGAGACCTGCCCTCTTCTCTCTCTTCCACGTAGGCAACACGTAGAGAAGGATAACTTTTGGTGAAGAGTGCCAAACAAGAGACCGATGTTATTTTTATTCCAAGATCTTGTAAATTGCAATGAATGTTCTATACATTTATTTTTTTACCTTATCATCAAATCAAGTATGTCTTGTGCCTGTGGATCTCCAGAGGACTTCTGAGATCCAAACATTTGACAAGAAACTACCTGAGTAAATTTCATGTCTGCAAATGCTTCAACTTGAGCCGCTAACCTTTCGTTTTCACTCCCAATAGTGTCGTAACCTTGAAGAATGTCTTTGGGGCCGATAAAAAGCATGAAAAATGAGTTTATTCTTTTAGGGGATGGAAAAAGTACAAAAGAAAAAACCCCAAAAATATCTTGAACAAATAGGCTTCAACAAACCATCATTCCAAGCCAAGTCAAGAAATGCTTGCAACTTTATAGCTTCCCTGTAGTACATCATTCCTCGCACTGTTAAAGGAATAATGAATATATTACTATGCATGATTAAAGCAGTAAATCCTCAGCATAGTGTAGCAATGGATACCAATGTGCTAGCTTAGACCTGTCCGGCTTAGAGTTTGCCCTCGAAAAGAAGCCCATTTCCTGATGTCTTCTTCATACCTCTCATCATCCATGTCATTTGATATATCCATCCCCACGCGTTCACAAAAATTCTCCCATTCATCTGCATCAAACAAGTAAAAATTAGGTCCTATACAAATGAAACATAGAGGGTTTTGCACAACTCACTCATGTATTCCGTGTGCTGTGTGCCAACCTGGGTATATATTCTTCATATAGAAATTAATGGACACTCCTTGTTTACGCGATCGAAGCTCTTTCGATGAAAACTTAACTTCTTCCATGTAGTGTGGTGTCAGAATGCTGCAACATTAACATTCAGTACATAAGGTGATAAACAGGGCTGAAAGAGCTAGAACATTAATTGAGCAGTTGAGCACTGCACACAACATCAAAATAATGGTGTAATTTGTCACTACAAAAAATATTTGGTGTCTCATGATATTTCAAATATTCCAAGTTTTGGGTATATTGTGAAAATGTGTGTTCTGAAAATGATCTCAAAGGGAATAGACAATTAGGAATACAAAAACACCAAGTACAAAAGTTAAACCTGAAAGACAGCATGTTGCGGACATGTGGGGCACTTGGCATGTCCATAAATAGAGATGTGGCAAAAAATGTAATCCGTCTGCGTGCCTTCAAGTTTTTTGGCACGTCCAATGCTTTATCTTTGACAGTGAGCAACAAAAGAAATCGTTTGATCTATATAGCATGAAAGATGATTAAGTTTTTTTGTATATGCGGCTTTTCTCATTTTCCATTTACAGTAGTACACTAATAAAACGACACATAAGGGCAATTTCTTCAACACAAATGTAGGAAGTACGTAAGATACTGATTTATTTTATTAGGAGGTAAAAAGTAAAACACCTTTTCCATTAAGGAATCAGTATCTGGAAATGGAAAGTTAAGACAATGCTTTGATGAAAATAACGGTTGTTCAATTGAACTGGAAAAAATTTCTGTTGGTTCCTTCATCTCGTGTTCAGCCTGGAGTGAAGTCAGTAATCTGTATTACATTAAGAAATTTAGTAGAAGATCTTCAGTAGTACCTAAAAAAACATGATCACTAACAATCAGAATCTTATAGAGCCTAACCTCGAACCGTTTAGCATCAAATCACGGGTAACAAGCTCAAATATATCTTGAAGTGCCAACACTACTTTACCGTAGTGATCCTCATTCCCCTCAACCTTGATGCAGTAATTCATGTTGACATGAACATAGTTAGCTAGTTAGAAACAATGGTAAGTGAATTGTCTTAGTAAAAGAATAATTCACATAATGATGTAAAAATTTACCAGAAGCTCAACTAACTCAGTGCACTTCTCATGTATGCTTGGTAGTGTACTTATATCTAGGTCCTCCAGAAAAGATGATCCTCTAATGCTCTCCTCAATTTCAATGAATATGCTAGAAACAATCCTGTAGGAAGAAATTCATGACAGTGGAACTAATGAAACAGTAAAAAAATCATGTCATTTTTAGATATCAAGCACCTTTTTTCCAGGTCACCAAGGACGAGGATATCCAGGATGTGTTTCAGTGACTCATAGCACTCGGTTACAACCAAATATAAGCAGTTGTCCTTTTTTATCTTTCGCAAAAGTTGTGCATCTTTTTTGCCCACAAAATCTCTGGCAATACTAAGTGCTGTTGAGAGCTAAAGATGAAGTATGGATCACAAGTTTTAAACAACAGTTAGTATATAACCTAGAGAATAATTCAAAAATTAATATGGTACCTGGTTTGCCAAGAGGAATACAGGCCAACGGATCTGGCCTGAGAACAACTCTGATGACACAGGCATTTTCATCAAATCCATCTCCCTATTTAAAAAATGATAAATAATTAATAAATGGAACATAAAGCTAAGCTGGTGAAGATTTTGTAAGTTCCATACAAAATGAACAAATCTGAGAGAAACCATTAACCTGTTGCTTATCAAGTCTTCTTCACGGAAGCTATAAATGATTTGGTTCCATGCAAGAACAAAGTTCACGACACCATTCTTCTTGCTCTCTGAGTCCTGAAAGTTAACTTAACTTAGAATTTAAGCAGTTCTGCAAAAGCAAAAAGAGGTAAATACAGTAAGTTAATTTCACGTATCAACAAGCACTAACCTTATGAAAACTCTGGTGGAATAGAAACCTATCTATTCCATTCACACTTTCTTTTGCTTGTGGTGGAACGAGACGTTTGTTGAATGCTGAAGGAAAATTGACAAATCTGCTTCTCAGCATTCCTAGCGTCCTAATCTGAGTTCAAAAATAAAAATAATGACAACAAAGTTGTAGAGATAAATTTGGAAAATAATCAAATACCATGTAACTTACTTCACCAAGGTGGCTCAAAATTCCATACACTCCACCAAAAACAGAACAATAAACAGAATACCAGATTTGTGCATCCATGAAATATACCTTGACAAAACACTGTTTTATTACTAAATATGCCAAAGAAAAAAACATTATGAAACAAAAGGACATTTTATACACAATGATCTTGGAATGGGGTTCGTGAGACAGTAGAAGGATTATTATGACCATTATACAGATATTGGGCAAAGAAACACAACAAAAATGGGTTACTATGTTGTCTTCTTTACTTGAAATGAAAACTCACAAGTATAACAGGCACCCATATAGCAGTGATTGCCCCGGCATTACTCTTAACTGGATCGAGAAAAATCAATCAGATCATTTTGATGAATACAGCCTCGACTTGAGTCTTGAGCCATGTACGAAGAAAATATAAGTTGATAACTTAGTACCTACAGGGAAGAGCTCATGCCATTCATAATTTTTGACCCCAATCGCCATAATCTGTCTTGTAGGTGATATAAGAGGTTTTATCTGTATATAATAAACAAGAATTTGACTCTGAGATTCTGCTATAAATCTACAGGCCTGAGTGGTCAGCGGTATCAACCATGTCTTTGCCCAGAGATTTTAAACTCTGTAATTTATATACCAGCCAAAAGTGCATTTTCCTATGTAATTCTGATTCCATTTTCCTCTGTTTGGTAGCATTAGTAGTAAGAAAATGTTTTCCAAGGAAAATATGTTCTCCCATCAAACAATTTCTGTTTGTTTTCGAAGGAAAATTCCTACTCATTCCTCGCCCCCTGCCACCCCCATGCTGCAACCCTCCCACCCCTGTCCCAACCCCTACCCCCGCCCCAACCCCTACCACTTGCCACCCCTACACCCAC